ACTCCACGGCAGCGCGCTAGAGTGCTGGTAGCGCGCCGCGCGGCCTCACCCCCTCAGGTCGCCCCTTGACCTTCACCGGGGGGAGGCCGCCACCTACAGGGGCCGGGACGTACGGGCGTATTCCCGCCTCCGGCCCCCGGCTCGACGGCGACGGATCGGTGCGGAAAGGGAAGAGCTCTCCCTCTCTCGCTCCGCCGCCTCCTTCTGCGAGATGGTGGACTCGCAGAAGTCGAGCATCGCCTTCCAGGACGCGTCGCTGCCGAGCATCGTAGCCACGACGCGCGGCAGCGAGAGGTCCTCTCCTATGACCGCGACGAGGGCGGCGCGTTGCTCGTCAAATCCAGAGCAACGCGCCAATGTGTGTTCCGCTGTGTCTTCCTCGTCGCGGTCCGCGCAGTGGTGGCACTGCGCCGTCGGTTCCCTTCCGTAGGGTGGTACCCTCCTGGGGTAATTTTTTTAAAAACTTTGCCATCATTAATTTTTCCTTTGATATTTAACCAGGGGTCGGTCCCCTGGGACGGCCCTCACGACTGGACTCCCTCCAGCCACTCATCCCATCACCGGGCACGTCACAAGCTTAGGATTAGGGCATTTTTTATAGAGGTTCGCATCCTCGCGGCCCCTGCTAGGCAGCGGCCCCCGTCCCCTACTCGGTAGGGATTACGGTATGCTTCTACGAAGCCACGCCGGTAAACCGGTACCCCCCTCTGGAGGGCCTTCCCCTGTAGCTGCCAAGAGGCAACCGGGGACATGGCAACCAGCGACCGGAAGGGAGTGCCCTCCGGTTCACTTCTCATCCTCTTGGGGTCTGCCATTACTGACAGACCCACACGTCTGACCATGATGTGGCCACGCCGGCGTACTGGTACCCCCCTCTGGAGGGCCTTCCCCTTTAGCAACCAGAGAGCTGCCGGGGACATGGCCTAGCATCCAAGAGGGCTCCAGAAGGGAGCCCTCACCCCCTTCACGCACCCTTTGTCCAGCAAAGGTGGGAAAAAGGGAACACGGTATGCAGTCTGCTTAGTTCGCGGCACCCCTGTGCAGACAACGCTGCTCCACGGTGTCGGGGTGCACGCTTAAGCCCCACCGCCACGACAAGGCGAGACCACGCTTAGTGGGGAAGTCGACTGGTACTAATCCTTGGCATCTTCAGAGAACATGACACATATCCTTAATCAAATAAGGTCATTGTTGATGTCCATGACCCACAGCGCCTATTCATTAGAAAGACAATTTGTTCAACTACCTCCCAAATTATAAAAATACAACAAAAAATTTAATTTAGGAAATAGTCCATTATTGGCATTAATTAGCCACAACGTCTACTCATTAGACAAATAATTTGTTCAACTACCTCCCAAAGTATAAAAATAAAACAAAAAAAGATGTGTGGTGTCGTGGGACACCAGATAGGAACGAAGTTCCTTATTATAACAATATTAATTTTAAGTTCTATTCGAGGTATAAAGAAAATAATTATTCGGGTATACATTTTTTATTATAATTTTTTTTATTGTAAAAATTAAAAAATAATAATAACCGTCATCACGTTGACTATATATACTGCATAGCCATCATACTAATACATAAATAATAAAAATCTTACGTTACGGACGTTTCTTCCCGGTTACGGTATCTCTCCGCATCGTCCCATAAGGAACTTCGTTCCAAAAAAAAAACTAATTTAGGAAATTTATTGTCAAAAGTATACTCACAAAGCACTACAACGAAGATAAGACAGAGCAGAACGCCTCCAGCCATCAGACAGTTATTGTGGACGAAGAAACAGAACGTGCTAAGGAAAGTAAAGAGCAAGACAACTGTGCTGCTGTAGACGATAGCCCCCCACTGGTAGATCTCGATCAGCACCGGTAAGTTCTAAAAGAAACGCCAAAAGCACATGAATCAAGGACGACGACAACGAGCTTCGTTCGAATCGCAAAAGCTTCACTGAAAAATAAACCTAATAAAATATTTATAACTACTGATACCATGCACCCCCCGCTTTTTTTACAATAAAATGATTTTCTTTACACTATTTTTAATTCAAATTTATTAAAATTTATAATCAATTTTTTAGTTGGATTTTCTATAAAAGCGTATTTTGTTAGTTTTTTTAAACTATTATTTATTTATCATTTTTTAGTTGGATTTCAATTTTTTCAATTTTTTTTTCATGTTTTTTAAATATTGAATTGTCATCGGTCCTTAATAAGTATACCAAATTTCAAGTCAATCCGACGTTTTAAAGGGGGTGAAAGTCATGTTCAAAGATTCCATTACAAACATACATACGTCTGAAGCTAATAAAAGCGTATTAAAAACAATGGTGATTAGCTTAAACTAATCATATATGTGTTTTATTGCAAAATTAACAATTAATTGTATATGAAAAATTTGATGTAACTACATATTTCCAAATTATATTTTATTTTTATGTAATTAAAACCATTTAACGTTTTGATCACGCGAGTTTTTATTTTTATTCTTTCCGACCTATCAAATACCATACTTTACAGTAACTAATCATGTCAACCAATCAATCAACAACTTTGTAGATGTCTATGGGCTCCGGTGGTGACTGCTTACCACCAGGTATAACAGTGGTATAACAGTTGGTATAACAGTGGACTCCAAACTGCAGTGGGGACCTCATATTCATAAATTGGCGAGTAAGCTCAGCTCTGCAGCATACGCAGTAAAAAAAATTAGAATGTTAACAAACGCGGACACGGCTCGTTCAGTTTACTTTAGTTACTTCCACAGTGTCATGTCCTATGGCATTTTGCTATGGGGCAATGCGGCCGATGTAGAAATGATATTTATTCTGCAGAAAAGAGCTATACGTGCTATTTATAACATGCACTCAAGGGAATCCCTGAGGGAGAAATTTAAAGAAATTAAAATTCTCACTATGCCATCCCAGTACATTTTTGAAAATTTGATGTATGTTCGTAAACATATTGAGGAGTTTCCTAAACAGTCGGACATACATAATAGAAATACTAGGAACAAACACAAGCTTGTTGTGCCGATGAGTAGGTTACATAAGATACGAAATTCATTCGAGTGTTTGTCTGTGCGCCTGTACAACAAAATCCCACAAGATGTTCAGAACCTACATATACATAGGTTTAAGAAAACTATTAAAGAACATCTGTGCAATAAAGCTTACTATAAAGTCAACGATTATCTAGAAGATTGCACAAAGTGGGAATGAGTTGCTCGCTCCAGGCATTTCAATATTGTAGTAATTGTTACGTTATAATACTCAGTGTAAAAAATTCATATTTAAAAAAATAATAATATTAAANCATATACATAGGTTTAAGAAAACTATTAAAGAACATCTGTGCAATAAAGCTTACTATAAAGTCAACGATTATCTAGAAGATTGCACAAAGTGGGAATGAGTTGCTCGCTCCAGGCATTTCAATATTGTAGTAATTGTTACGTTATAATACTCAGTGTAAAAAATTCATATTTAAAAAAATAATAATATTAAAAAATAAATAAATAATAATTTTATATGTAAAAAAAAAGACATGCCCGCTGAGTTTCTTGCCAATTCTTCTTAGGACGGAGGCTAGTTCTTGTGAATTGGCGGTAGTTCTTTTGACGTTCAACAAGTATGTACTTTCATTTATGTTGAATAAAATTTTTTTGATTTGATTTGATTTGATTTGATTTGGTAGACCTGTGAGCTCGTTCAGTCGTCTATGTAGTCTAAACTAAATTATGTCTACAACTAGAGAAAATTGAAGAAAGCACTAAATTTTTTATTACATTTCGCTGATTTACTGTAGTACTTCATTACATTGTTGTATGTGTTAAATTGTTGCAAGTTTTGTTGCGTAGTCATTTGTTGGAATCAAGATCACATATGCCATCGAACTGCCAATCGGTGGGGCACAAAACTGCCAAAGTGGAGACCTCATACTGGACGTCGTAACGTGGGCAGACAATCAAACAAAGTGGACTGATGACCTGATCAAAATAGCTGGTAGGGTCTAGATGCGAAAAGCAAGAGACCTAAAAGAATGGAGTGCATTTGAAGGGACCTACACTCAGCATTGGGTGGACATGGGTTGAAGAAGAGAAAAGAGTGGTGGAACTCGTTAGAAATTACAATATGATTACCACCACCCACCTTATGACAAAGGTTTAGGTTTCATTCCCAAAACATTACAATGTGTATCATCAGCATGACCTGTTCACTATCGGAAAATATCCCCTGACACTAGATTCATTCGCGAAGCAGTTGCTCTTGAGTTGTTAGGTCCCCTTCGGAGGCGCTCGGGCAGGTGTTAGCAAAACCCACCCCTCCTGGCTGAGCCTTTGCTCGCCCACCTGTCCTGGTGAAACTGGAAAGGCCTTTGGGCTACCAGTAATCCTTTATTCATAAAACTCTGATACCTAGTTTAACATAAAGGAATTTAATATATAGGTATATAAAATAATATATTCCTTTTAATACCGTATAATCTATTATACAATACCAGGCAATAAATATTGCACATCGATATTTAGAAAAAGACAGTCGTCTAATTTTGTTTTTGTTGCATAGCGTTACCCGTATGAGACGAAACACTAAAGATCCGGTATTTGTGGAGACTAAATGTCAATTAGGTAATGTGCGACAGATATAACGCTCTACGAAGCAAAAAATTAACCGTCTCTTTCCCACGGTCGATGTGCAATATTTATATATTGTGTATGTATTAGTAATTTAATATAAATTTCATTGCCCCTACCACTATTTACTCTGCACTAGCTTCGGTTGACTGCTAGAGAATGCCTTAGCTATGAAATCCGCCGATGTAAATTTTACATGAAGTGTAATCTATTTATTATAAAAATGAATTGCTGTTCGTTAGTCTCGCTAAAACTCGAGAACGACTAGACCGATTTGGCTAATTTTGGTCTTGAATTATTCGTGGAAGTCCAGGGAAGGTTTAAAAGATGAGAAAATATAAAAAAGCTCGGAATTATATAAAAACAAACAATTTTGTTTTCCCTTTGATGTGTCCCCTTGATGTGTCTTTTATTCATCGATTGAGGCACTACGAAGTCTGCCGGGTCAGCTAGTAAATAAATAAATAATACAATACTTACACAACAGGCTCCCAATAGAAGTAAAACACTGACGGAGCACAACAAAATGGACGCCATGCCGAGAACCATTTGGACGGTCGTCTCCGATGATGTGCTGAAGTTCGAGAGCACATTCTCCATGTCCCAGAACCCGGACGTTTGGTTCACGTTTGGCGCGAAAGTCAAACCGACGATCTGTGGACGGGGTTTTCAATATTAGTACTCTACGAGCGTCTAGTTCAATTTGGAATTATAGAAAAAACAAAAGACATGTACCACTAAATTATATTCTAGTAATAACAATTATGCTGTCTATTTCTATTTACTAGAGGCCTTGCAGTAGTCGAAATTCGACTATAATTAGTTAATTAGGAATTGTAAGTTTGTACACTATTATGATTGTATTTTATACTTCTATAATCACGAATTTCGCCAAGGCTACACTATAAAAAATATTATCAAAGACAAACAATATTTAATCTATTCTCAATTTGACCACAGACGTCAAGAACAAAAGTTTGACAATCAATAGTATGCATGCGTGTGTGCGTCAAATACATGGTATATAGTGTGTGTAATGTTTTCTTTATTGATTTAATGTATCTTTTATGCATTATTTTAAAAAAATATTAGCATTGTGCGCTTCTTCTCTATATTTTCTATAAGTGTGGAAAATTTCATGCTCCTCCATCCGGGCAATTTTCGTAAAAAGGGATACAAAGTTTTTGCCTCACGTATTAATATATAGATGTTATGTATACTTATATATGCTATGTGTGTACTCTTTTAAAATATTATTTTAAATCAATTCGTTATATCCATTCGTTTCCACGCGCAAGAGTAAATTACGCCACACATATTTTCACATTCTAATAACGTCGCTTATTAAGTACCATTTTCTAACCTTTGAAGCGAAATTCGGGATTGCTTCGTGACAGAAATAGGCGAGACCCGCGCGGCCTTATTAAAGCGACACAAATTGAAAAGGAAAACGCTGCGAGTGATCACGTTAAATCATAATTGCTGACATGTCAACGTCGCGGGCTGGATGATGAATGTTTGTATACGAACCACGGCTCCCGTGTCACGTATAAATAAATACCCTTTTTAGAACGAACGGAAGGCATTCGTCACTTTTGTGTCAGTTATTGGATTTTTAATACGCTTTTATTAGCTTCAGACGTATGTATGTAACGGAATCTTTGAACATGATTTTGAGCCCCTTCAAAACGTCGGATTAACTCGAAATTTGGTATACTTGTTAAGGAACGATGACAATTCAATATTAAAAAAAATTGAAAAAAAAAAATAAGTGAAAACATTGATAATGGTAAATAAATTACCATTTCAAATTATTAATTATGTCGTAGATATAGCATTGTTTTTGTTTTAAGTTAAAGTTTTTTATAAAGATTTTTTTGAAATCATCAATTTCTTCGTTCAATTTCAAATCAGCAATTATTGCTTACATTGGTGGCCAAGCTGACGCCCCATCTGGTGTTAAGTAGCTACCGGAGCCCATAGACATCAACAACGTAAATGTCGCATTGAGACACGAGTTCTAATGTCCCAATTTTTAAAGTACAACGGCTGCCCCATCTTTCAAATCGGAACGCATTACTGCTTCACGGCAGAAATAGGCAGGGTGGTGGTACTTACTCGTGCGAACTCACAAGACGTCCTACCATTGGTAAATGATTACAGCATATAGATGCTGTAGTATAGACCAAAACTGTGCTATACAGTTTTAAAATCCAAATTAACTAATCTAGTTTGCGTTTTTCGTATTCATCTATAAATTTTTTTTTTATTGCTTAGATGCTTAGTTGGGTGGACGAGCTCACAGCCCACCTGGTGTTAAGTGGTTACTGGAGCCCATAGACATCTACAACGTAAATGCGCCACCCACTTTGAGATATAAGTTCTAAAGTCTCATAACTGCTTCACGGCAGAAATTGAGTGATGGTACCTACCCGGGCGGACTCACAAGACGTCCTACCGTTAGTAAATGATTATAGCATCTATACCAAAACTGTGCTATACAGTTCCGCAATCCAAATTAACTAATCTAATTTGCATTCTTCGTATTATTCTATCATTATGGTAGATTATGAATTAGTGCGTACACCAAATCCTTATGAGGTGATATGAGGTGATACTCACGAAAGAAAATGCGGCTATCATCACAGTTCCAGCCCTTAAGAAACAACAGAAACAACAGCTTATAACGGTCGGCAGCTTATCCATGAACTTCATTTTGAATGATGATTAGATTTTAGGGATTTTTTTTGCGTTTACATTAAAATACTTGATAATTTCGTCTGACGTATGCCAGTAACAGAAGACTCACGGAGCTTTGACGGAAGCCTATTTTAAAAAAAAGGTTTCACTCTTCTTATAAATAACTATAATTCTTCATTATAATTCTTCCAGAAGTCGATGTCCGAGTGAAACTAGTTACTGATCGCGCCAAAACACGTAGCACAAACATTTTAATAAAATGTTTTTCAATCTTATTATAATACGAAATGTCATCCGCGATTTTGCCCATGTCGTTAAGGAAAAGCGTTAGTGTAATTTCTCGTGGAAATGAGATGTTTTTTCCTCATAAAAGATAGCCTATGTCAATCTAATACAATCACTAAAACAAAATATTAATCTCTTACTTCGTTTCAACGTGAAAGAAAGAAAGATACAAAAACACAAACAAACAAACGCATTTTCAAATTTTCAATATTAAAATATTAATATTGAATGTATTAAATAACTAAGTACCTCATAACTTAAAGACTCACTCGCGTATTATTATCTTGTAAATAGCTATTAACCTCCCATGAGGTACACGGACGACATGCTTAAAGGTTGCGGGAATCAGCAGAATAGAGGCAGCGCACAGTGTACCATCACAGCGAAGGTTGGGAAAGTCCTGTGTCCAGCGGTAAACGGCCATAAGCTAATGATGATGATGATTAATGATTAAAATAGATAACTTACAGAAACATACAAGATATATTATTATTAAAAAATCTCAGAATATACATAAATCTATTTTTATCAAATAACCATGACTGAGGTTATAAGTTTGGTGTTTCAGAATTTTCAAGTTGTAGTTCTTACGTATTAATAATATATTTTGGCATACCGGTAATGAAAAAAAAATAAGAATTTTAGCAGGTCTTTCGCTGTCTATCTATTCTTTAGCCCGTGCACGTCCACTGCGGAACATAGGTCTACCCAAGCCTCGCCACAACGATCGATCCTACGTTGCTTGCATTCAGCAGATCCCCGCGAATCTCAATAGGTCATCGGTTCACCTTGTGGGAGTCCTACCCACTACTCTGTCGGTATTGTGCCTAAAATACGAGACAAGTCATCGTTCTCGTCGAACCGTCGAAGGATTTTGCGAGTAAACTAACCCACAGACACAGCCCACTGAGTTTCTCGCCGGATCTTCTCAGTAGGCCGTGTTTCCGATCCGGTGGTAGATTCTGCGAAGCGCAGTTCTTGCTAGAGCTAGTGTTAGCAGAGTCGTCAGTTTAGAGCACCGTGAGCTCACCTACTTGTTAGGTTACGCTGACATAGCCTCTCAAGGTTATCGGCTTAGGTAGGAAAGGAAAAAGAGACAAATGTGGACAATTACTTAAAATCATGAAAGAAAAACTCGTAATCGAACCCAAGCGAGCAATTTTCGAAGCAACTATTTCACGGCACAATTCTGGATCGTCGTGATCTTGTATAACAATTATTAATGTCGAACTCGGTTTAGTTGCCTATTTCGATGCAAATTGATGGGGAATCGTGCCCTGAAGGTTGCAAGAGGATTGCAAACGGGCGACTTTTTTCATACCAATTTTTCTAATGAAATACGTACTCAACAAATGCTCACGATTGACTTCCACGGTGAAGGAATAACATCGTGTATAAAAATTAAACCCGTAAAATTATAATTTGCGTAATTACTGGTGGTAGGACCTCTTGTGAGTCCGCACGGGTAGGTACTACCGCCCCGCCTATTTCTGCCGTAACGCAGTAATGCGTTTTGGTTTGAAGGGTGGGGCAGCCGTTGTAACTATACTGAGAACTTCAAACTCATATCTCAAGGTCGGTGGCGGCATTTACGTTGTAGATGTCTTTGGGCTCCAGTAACCACTTAACATCAGGAGGGCTGTGAGCTCGTCCACAATAAGCAATAAAAAATTTAAAATAGCATTTTTACACATCAATTCCCTAAACAATCTCATTTTTCATCAATCAAATACAACCCTGAAAATCAGAGAAAATTACTACAATTTAAGATTTAGAAAAAAAATCGTCGCGAGTCTACCAAGCCATCCGCTAAAGGCGCAATTTTGATGAATTATCAAATGTAAATTAGCCGTAACCTAAACATTTATACGTACTGAGCTCTATATATTTAAACTGTGTGCACATCAATGTACAGAATTTGAATGTAACATTATCGTCTCGAAATTCGAGGCAAAAGGTCGGGTACAATTCTCAGAGTAATTCATGCACATTATTGAGTAAGTCCCATAGTATCTATATATTAATACGTGAAGCAAAAACTTTGTACCCCTTTTTAAGAAAATTGCGTGGNCATTTATACGTACTGAGCTCTATATATTTAAACTGTGTGCACATCAATGTACAGAATTTGAATGTAACATTATCGTCTCGAAATTCGAGGCAAAAGGTCGGGTACAATTCTCAGAGTAATTCATGCACATTATTGAGTAAGTCCCATAGTATCTATATATTAATACGTGAAGCAAAAACTTTGTACCCCTTTTTAAGAAAATTGCGTGGACGGTGGAGTATGAAATTTCTCACACTTACAGAGAATATAGAGAAGGAGTGCACAATGCTAATATTTTTTTCAAATAATGCATAAAAGATACATTAAACCAATAAAGGAAACATTACACACACTACCATGTATTTGACACACACACGCATGCATACTATTTGTTTATAGTCAAACTTTTCTTATTGTATAAAGTCTATGGTCAAATTGAGAATAGATTAAATATTGTTTGTTTTTATTAATATTTGTCTAAAGTGTAGTCTTGGTGAAATCTGTTATTATATAAGTATAATAAACAGTCGTTACCATACTAATGTTCAAACTGATAATTTCAATTAATTTTAGTCGAATTTCGACTACTGCGGGACCACTAGTATTTTTAAAACACTCAATATAAGAGATCGGTCAGTGTTATTCCAGACCGACACCTAAACTCAATCTGCGTGAATGTAAATTAAAGATTGTTTTTTGCGCAAACACTTTTGTTGCCGACGCTCTATTCAACGAAGGCCGTCTAAGCCCTGAGTTTTCGCCATTAAGGCCTCCGTACAAGGGTCCAAAACACTCATAATTCATGGCCAGTAATACCCCGGTTCAGGTGTGCGTGAGAATTTATACATGATGTAATGAACTATGCTTCTTACCCTTTTGTTAAATCAGTATATGAGGTAAGTTTTCTGGCATATGTATGTCGGAGAAACCGCATTATTAAGACCATCATCAGACATCATAGGGGCGAGTAGGGTGATTGAGTTAAGAGCAATATTGAGTACACAAAACACCTTTCTTGTCTTAGAACAATTTAGAAATCTTCTCTTGACGTTAGCACACGAAAAACGAATGACAGTTGTTAGGATGGAGGCACCGCTCTTCAAGAAGGCTGGTTGATAAGTGTGATGGCGTCTTCGCGCCTCCATCGGCTAGGCTCTGTCGTAGCACGAAGTTAGCCGAGTTCCGATGACATTGCGATCGCGTTGTCACCTCTCGGGAATCGTGCCGCGTTTCGTTTTGCTACCAAACTAATGACCGTCACCGACATGTATATCTAAACGCTTCAAGACGCAACTCATGTATAGTACATGTACAAGACGACAGGCTGAAACATTCTGCTGTCTCTACTGCTAACTGCTAATTACGCAGTGCCAAAATTATATCGAAGAACAAAAAAAAATGGTGCGTTTGGAACTTGGTGCACGTGAAAGAAGTTAAACTTCTTTTGCGGTGTGTAGTATTGTGCTTTTCTTCATTTCAAATCATCCTTAAATCAAATTTCTCTTGTAATAGGAAATGCTGTGTATAAGAGAAACGACCTCTTCGCCGTTTATATATATTTTAAAATATAAATAGAAAAAATTATTTTTTATTTTATTTAAATCCACTCATTAAAAATATAACTTAGTTCATATATTACTGCTATTTACAAGAACAATAAGACTCTAATAACAAGCCATTTAGTGGCCGAACAGAAACAGTATGTGTATAAGAGAAACGACCTAGCGCGCTATCTCCCTCTCTCCACGGTCGAGTGGTTTGCGAGACGGTATGTCTTTTTTCTCGCTCTCGCTCTTCCTAATTTGTATCTTTTCTCTCTAGCCATAACGAAACTGTCGTGAGTTACATGTTACACTCAACGCACCTAAAGAAGTTTCACTTCAAATAGATAAAGGTATTTAAGCCCTTTGCTTAATTCATATTTTTGTTATAACTTAAAAATCTCATTGCACACACCTCATAGGAGTTAAGCCCCCTACCTGCCCCTGAAGTCTCATTTGTTACATATCAATCGCTGCCATAGATTTCAAGCCCATTAGATTAGCCCACTGAGTTTCTCGCCTCATCTTCTCAGTGGGTCGCGTTTCCGATCCGGCGGTAGATTCTGCGAAGCACGGCTCTTGCTAGGGTTCGTGTTAGCAACGTCTCTTGACGGCTTGAGTCCCGTGAGCTCACCTACAAGCTCGGCAAATCTAGAATAACCCCTCCAGGTTACTAAGAACTGGTAGGACAAAAAAAATAGATTTCCAATCAGGAAAAACGACTGGTTCGCTGCTTAAATTACGCGTATCGATCTAATGTAACAAAAACCCAAAGCAACAACTGTATATCCCGATAAGAATGTTCTGACAATACGCCTCTCTATATCAGGTAAAGGCATCCACGCGTTGGATAAGCTACCTTTTGTGTGTATTTATAAACACAATGACACTTCTTTAACGCTAGGTACGTATGTTGTGTTCCATCCACGCATCTACTTCGACAAATAAAGTATCTCATATCGTGATTCTCGCATTAAAACTGTATAATCTCAGAACTTACTAATTTTTTACAGGAGAGTGTTTTAAAGGTTTCACATGTAATATTTTTAATACTAATCATTTATTGAAGTGAAAACTTCTTTAGAATCGTTGTGATTTCAAACCGGATGCAACGGAAAAAACGACAGGTAAGAGACACA